GGGGGCTGATCGCCCCTGGATGGCAACCTGAAGCCCAGGCAGGGGGCAGGGCCACCGCCTGGCTCCCCCTGGGTTCACACAGGAGCCAGTCTGCGAGGTCGGCCAGGAGAGAGTGCGCTGCCTGCCTGGCTTTTGTGAGGCACCGCTGGTCGGCCCAGAGGCCCATGCTGCACCCGGCCCGCAGCATCCGACCATGCTCACTGCATCTCCATGTGGGGACTCAGGTGCTGTGATTCAGGCAGAGGGGCGCACGTGGGGGCCCAGGGCCCAGGGGCTGCCCAGGGCCCAGAGGTCAGCTGGGACCTGCCCTTCCATGCCAGACACTCACACTTTGATTGCTGGCCAGGCCTAGGGACCGCACCCGTGCACGAATTTCATGCACCGGGCCTCTAGTAATAACAAAATGGCCAAAGTCCAAGTGACCAACTCTGGACAAATGAGGCATGACCCACACTTCAAGGTGCTCCCATGGGAAATGGAGATGAATAAACATATTGATAGTACAGAGAGGGACTGTGGCTGGGGCCTGGAGAGAGAGATGTAGGGATATAGTGATAAGAAAACTCCACTGGAGAGATCAAGGGAAGGCACCCTGGAAGAGGTACCATTTAGGCTGGTAGGTGGGATTAGACCTTCAAGAAAAAGGGAATGTGAGAAAGCGTGCTCGAGATCAGGGGTGGGCAAACTTTTTGACTCGAGGGCCACAATGGGTTCTTAAACTGGACCGGAGGGCCAGAACAAAAGCATGGATGGAGTGTTTGTGTGAACTAATATAAATTCAAAGTAAACATCATTACATAAAAGGGTACGGTCTTTTTTTTTTTTTTAGTTTTATTCATTTCAAATGGGCCGGATCCGGCCCTCGGGCCGTAGTTTGCCCACGGCTGCTCTAGATGGAGATTAGTTCACACCTGTGCAAAGTCAAGGAGACTGCAAAATTCTAACTATACATGGGGAGCTGTGAGTGGTTCAGGTGATGGCAATTTTCAGCATTCACTTTGTTGTAAAACACACAAATGGGTGTGAGGTTACCATAGGCATCCCCAACTTCAGACAAAACAAAACAAAAAATCAGCCAGTAATTAAAACACTACAATCATTTATATTCATCACAACTTCTAATGGTATGTGAGCAACAGTAACTCATTACCAGTCCTGGTATAGGCAAGGCAGGGAGCCAGGGCTGCAAAATCCCGGGTGTGACTCTTCCTTCTTTCTCACTCAGGAAAGCACATGAGACTGCCAGTGAGCAAGAGCGAGATAATTAGAGGGAAAACCGGAGCCTGCTCTGATGAGTTTTTAGTATTTCTTCAAAGAAGACCTACGAACAGCAAACAAGCACATGAAGTGATGCTCAACGTCAGTAGTCATGGGGGAAATGCAAATCCAAACCCCCAGATACCACTTCACACCCACTAAAATGGCTTTAATTAAAAAATGGAAAATTACAAGTGTTGGCAAGAATATGGAAAAATCAGAACCCCTGTACACTACTGGTGAGACTGTAAAATGGTGCAGCCACCGTGGAAAATAGTTTGGGAGTTCCTCAAAAACTTAAGCATGGAATTACTTCATGACCCAGCAATTCCCCTTCTAGCTATACACATAAAATAATTGAAAACAAATATTCAAACAAATCCTTGCATACAGATATTCATAATAACACTATTCCCAATAGCCAAATATCCCTATGAGTGGAAGATGAATAAAACAATTGTGGTATATCCATACAATGGAATATTATTCAACCATAAAAAAAGAATAAAGTACGGACTCATGCTACAATATGATGAACCTCAAAAGCATTATGCTAAGTAAGAGAAGGCCAGACACAGAAGGTCATGTATTATATAATTCCATGTATGCAAAATGTCCAGAATAGGCAAATCCATAGAGACAGAAAGCAGTTTAGTGGTTGGCAGGGGTTGGTGAGGTGTGACTGGGGGGATAGGGAGTGGCTGCTGAATGGAATTAAGGTTTTCTTTTAGAGTGATGAAAATTTTTAGAAGCAGATAAAAACAACAACTGCACAACACTGTAAATGTATTAAATGCCACTGAATTGCACAGGTGAAGATGGCTAGTTTTATGTTACGTGAATTTTACCTCAAAAAAGTAAATCAGGATATCTAAATGTCCAATAAATACATGAAAAGGTAATCAACTTAATAATCAGGAAAACATAAATGAAGACTACAGTAAGATTCTAATAGGTACCCATTAGAAAGGCTGGAATTAAGCCCAGTGACAAGACCAAGTGCTGGTGAGGATGCTAAAAAACGGGGACGCTCATACCAGGTTGGTGGCTGTGTACCTGCGAACAACCAGGTGACAGACATGCTGTCTGTTCATGCGTTGTCTGTTTGGTTGGAGGATTTGCATACCCTGTTACCCAGCATTCCACTCTTAGACACAGAATCAAGAGAAATGTGTGCACATGTGCACCAAGAGACATGTACAAGAATGTTCACAGACACACTACTATATCATCCCCAAATGGGAAAAATATTGTTGAAGACAAATGGATAGATAATATACATGTTATTAATACAGTGGAATATTATATAGCAATGAAGATGGATTAGCTACACATGCAACAGCATGAATGAATCTCAAAAACTTAATATTCAGTTTAAAAAGGCAGGCACCAAAGAAGACATCCTACATGTATAAAGTTCAAAATCAAGTAAAATGGAACTTTGGAATTTGGGGATACATGTTTAGGTCCTAAAGTTATTTTTTAAAAGTAAGGAAATGATCACATTGAAAGTCAAAGTGATAGTTGTCTCTGAGGACACAAAGGAGCTTCCGGGAGCTATGCTATTTCTTTCTTTTTTGTTATTTTATTGATTTTTTACAGAGAGGAAGGGAGAGGGATAGACAGTTAGAAACATCGATGAGAGAGAAACATCCATCAGCTGCCTTCTGCACGCCCTCTACTGGGGATGTGCCCGCAACTAAGGTACATGCCCTTGACCGGAATCAAACCTGGGACCCTTTAGTCCGCAGGCCGACGCTCTATCCACTGAGCCAAACCGGTTAGGGCTATGCTATTTCTTCACCTGGGTTATGTGATGTTTGTACTGTGAGAAATCATTGAACCGTTCTTTTTAATTTATTCTCACCAGAGAATATGTTTATTGGTTTTAGAGAGAGGGGAAGGGAGGGGAAAGGAGGAGAGGGGAGAGAGAGGGAGAGAGAGAGAGGGAAGTAGAGGGAGAGAAACATCAACGTGAAAGAGAAACGTCGATAGGTTCACAATCAAACACTTTAAAGAAAAGTAAATAATTCGCACATATCAGCATTTTATCTGGAACAAATTACTTGTGGCACTACCGTCCCTGTCCCCACAACAACCTCATCATCTAAAATAGCGGCTATTCCAATGACACTGAACTTTACTACTCAGCCATGACCCCTTAGGGACACAAGGATGGATGTGAGGGCAAGGGTCCCTTTCAGGGTCTCTTTAAACTGGGTGGGCAGGAAACCCTGAGGGGCCTGGAAGCCTTGGGCCTTTGGGACTCACTTTCCTCATCTGAAGGACCGAGACAGTAACAGTCCCTGTCCCCACCCCGTGGAGCATTGTGAGGACTGGATGAACGAAGTATGAGTGTGTTCACAGCTCTGCCTGAGCATATGAAGTGATTTATAGGTGTTAGACTAATTGAACTGCATGCAAAATTTGGTTTGCAAGAGGATATTTCATGCATCTAGAAGATTCTGAGTCTCAAAGGGACACCGAATACCCATCATTGCAAATGGCCCTACCCAGGCCCTGTTCAGCGCCTGAGGGCTTCCTGGCACTCCCTTCTTACATGATAGATGAGAACAGGACTTCCTCTGTGTTAGCAACCACAGCCCCGACCTGTCTCCCAGGGACCCAGCCTGCAGGAGCAGGAGGAGGAAAGAGACACAAAGTATCTCTCCTCATAGCCTTCTTCCTTTTGGGGGTGAGGGTTGCAGCAAAGTTCACCGAGGATCACAGAACCCGAAGCTGCCTCTGCTGCTGAGTTGGCAGTAACCTATATCACATGCAAAATTGCAATGTTCCCACATGGGCCATGGTGCTGAGAAGCCAAAACTGTGCTCCAGCTGCCCTTTGATCTGCAAGAAATGCCAGGCTGGACGCTCTGGCAGGAAAAGCTGTCATCGCGTTTGGGTCTCCCTCCCAAGGAAACAATGGTCCGGGCTGTCCCAGGCTTCCTCCAGCACACAAAGAGTTAACCAAGGCCACCCACCCAATCCCCACTTTCCTTCATGGAGACACCTCTATGGAGACTGTGTTCTAATCTCCTAAATCCAAAAGGGGTCAGAGACCACTGTTGGGGAGCACAGCTCTCCCACAAAACTGCATGGAGGAAGGGCGGAGCAAGGCACGACTGGAGCCTGCAAATCTGGGCTCAGTTCTGCCATTGGACCGGCCACTTCCTAAGCCTCTCTCATCCTCAGTGTCCTCTTCTGTAAGAATTCCTGCATTGCTTTCTAACACAGCTACTGCAAGCACCAAGCCACAATACCTATCACTTATTTTCTGCCTGGTATGCACCAGCGTGTGGAAAGCATATTATTTCTAATATCTCTCTTAATCTTCACAGCAGCCCTAGGAGGTCAGGTGATTTAATTACCCCCTCCCTTTTTTTTGAATGAGGAAACTGAAGCCCAGAGAGGTGAAATTAATTGCCCAAGGTCACCCAACTAGGCACAATTCAACCCCATGCTGCCTGACACAACCTAACCAAAACATGTTTTAACTAATACCCCACGATTCTTCCCACCGCCTCTGGGTCCAGGTGGGGAAAGTGAGCCTTGGGAAACAGAAGGCACCAGATCCCCTGGCTCCCAGCCCATAGCTCTTCCCATCACCCATGGAACCACTGCCCCGTGGAGGTGACTCCCGAGGTAACTCAGCGCTAAGTTAGGCATCAGAGCAATTCAGTCCCGTTACTTCTTTCGAGGCAACGGCGCCAGGTGTCTCTGCTGGCGGTCATGCGTCCGCACCTGGGTACAGGGAGGGCACCACACCTGCCCTGACAATGAGCTGGGCAGCACGCATGACCTGGGCGCGGGCACTGGGCGCAGCTAACTGTCCCCGCGGAGCCGCTGGTGCCCTCCGGTGCTTCCAAAGGCTCTCGATGCCCAGAACTGGAGGGGCCACGCCTAACTTAGACATCTTGGATGCCCAGAGACCGCTCCATCCACCCCAGCTGCCCGGGACTCCCACCCACTCCAGGAACCCCCTCGGGAAGCCGCGGCAGGACCGCCAGTGCGCACGGAGCGGCGAGGACTCCCTTTTATGTCCAGGAATGAGGCGCGCAC